CCCCAACTTGTTCTTCTCCATTTTTTTCCCAATAGGTTGGTACAATCGGCTCTTTATCAACTTTGCACTCCGCAGACACATTTTCTTTTTTGTGCTCCAATCCTATTTCCCAGCCATGCTGATGGTGATGCTGTCTTGGGTTTCCTTTTGGATTGATAGAAGAGCTGTTCCTGCCAGAGTGTCATTAGGTAAATCTTTGCTCTATATCCTTTGGGAAGTATAGAATTGAGAGGGGAGGGTTTGGAGTTACCTTAGCTTATTTACACAGGACATCAGCAAAAATATCAGATAATTGCCTGAACAACACTCTTATTACCTCTGTTGCCATTTCCTGTAGTCAGTCTCTACATTTGGAAAGGGGGTTTGTTCAGACTGGCTTTGCTATTTCTGGAAACAGCTCTCACACCACAGAAGCAAAAAAGGGATGATTCTCTAGATTCCCTGATAGAATTTTACTTAATTGCAAAACCTGGGTTTTCCTTCTCTCTTCCCAGCAAATTAACAGGTAGGAACAGGCAGTCAGATCCCTGTCCAAATCCAGGGGTCATTAGATATAGCCCAATCTATGGAAAAGCTCCACAGCTCTTCTTTTTCTCAAGAAACATTTTTTATCTTCCCACCAACTTGGAAACAGTTCCCTGTGTGGCAAAGCCTTCAGTTGTGGGACGCCTTGGAAATGTTTGCTTTGGTGTCTTGGCTGTGCAAGGCACACAGTCTTCTGTGGAAGCCAAAAAGTGAGTTCTGAACACCTCAGCTCAGTAGAAGAGGACCTATTGCAGTGTTTTTAATGGAAGTTTATTTTTTCTTCCACTGGTGAATCAGTGGATGCCACTCCAAGGCTGTCTTTGTTGTGACTATAATGCTGATGGCCTTGGAATGAGTACTTTTTTTTTTTCAAAAATTAGGATCTCTGAAGATCTGCTGGGAATTTGTTAAGATATCTAATGCAATCATAATGCAACTGGGTTCTGTAACTGTCAGGTTAAAATAAAGAAGCTCCTGTCCTTTCTTCTCACTGATGCTGGTCCCAGAAGCCAACTGTATGTTGCCATATTTCTTAGGCAAGAGAAAAAGCCCTCATTTTTCACTGGAATTATATCAATCTAGAAAGAATGGGACTGTAGCCACTCAGGTCCCTTTCTATTGGCACAGTCTAAAGCTATTAATACATGAGATATAAATCTATTTGTTAATCTGTAAACAAATTATGGTTCTTCCTACCTACTGTTATTAATGTATCTATTAATTCTTTTTATTTAGAAAAAATTTAACTTCATCTTTAAAAATAACTTTTTAATTCTCAATAGGCAATTTTTAATGTTGTCAAGATGGTTTTGCTGATCATGTTCTTAATATATAGATTTCTGCAGAAGGTTATACATCAGGAGTTCCATCAATAAAGCACATTTCATTAGCATAATCATACATAATTTATAGAAAACCTTAACAACAAGTTTAATAAGCCTAGCTCCTTAGCCTAGAGTATATGTATATTAAATAAATTGATTTCCTCTTATATGGTGTGTTTCAAACTCCATCCTTCAACCTAAAGAAGCTGCAGAGGGGGAAAGCTTTTGCATGTTCCAGTGGACTTGAACTGGAGAAGGGCTGCAGAGACCCAGCTGACAGTGCTGACCCACAGATGTCAAGATGTCCTCACTTCCAGAGTTACACTGATTTCTTTAAAAGCAGAGCCTGAGTTGGGTGTTGTGTTTTTCCCCTGAGCTGGAGCAATCAAAAATGAGATGAATAGCTGATGTAAGAGCAGAGCTTGAAAAGATGAGGGTGAACTTCTGGTCACACTGAGACAAACAATATTTTTTTTCTTGGTTTCAGTGGCTGTAGCATTTTTATGCTAGATTGTTTTTAGAGAGCTCTGGAGTTATGACAGGGACATACAGGCTGATATATGGTCTCAAGAAGTACAATTTGAGAAAGAGTTAGGAGGAAAATGGTGATTCTTTAGTGATTTTCCTGGACAAGAAAATATGCAGTGGCAACCCTGGCTCTGGGAAGTGAAGGATGACCACAAACCTGCTTTCACCTTTGTGTGGCAGTGCCCAAAGCTGTCACAGAAATGTGTTCCTTATGCTGCTCAATGACCATTCTGAGCAGAGAGATGATTTAGTGCTCTCAGTATTGTGTGTGATGGGTCCTTCATGGTTCACTCCTCAGAGCCTGTGTGAGGAAGTTAAAGGGGGTGCCAATCACAGGTCCTCACAAAGCTGTGCTGTCCAAACAGTGCAGATGAGCTAAGCAGAACCAGCTGGCCAGAACTGTGATAACCTCTCTTTTCTGTGTGGCAGGTATAACTACAGTGCTCACAATGTCAACCATCATGACAGGAGTAAGTGCCTCAATGCCTCAAGTGTCTTACATAAAGGCTGTGGATGTGTATTTATGGATCAGCTTCCTTTTTGTCTTCCTGTCAGTCATCGAGTATGCAGCAGTCAACTATCTCACCACAATTGAAGAGAGAAAACAACTCAAAAAAAGGGGCAAGGTACAACCCTCTGTGTTTTGTTCCCTTCTGAAAGCATCATGGAAGCCACAGAGTAGTCCTGATATGCCATTGTGATACCAGAACAGTAACAATCTGTGTTTGCACTCTGTATCTCACTTTTTTTTCACTTGGGTGAAAGGAGACAAAGTGTCCTCCTCTCTGAGACCCTGAGAGGTCTGTGCTTTCTCTCCCTTTTCTTGTGGCAGAGGTTAGGGATATTTTTTGCCCCCTCTTTCCCCCCTTTCTTCTATTTTCAAATACCTATCAATCAAGGTATTTCTCCTGTCTCTGAAATAGACCTCAGCATGCCCTCATATGATATTCCTCCCTGTTTCCTGTTTCTTTTTTTGTCCCAAGACCAAATGAATGACAAGGTCATTTTTAGAAAAGTGTGCCTGAAGCAGAAATAGTCATAAGTTAAACATCTGCTTTCTGTGAAGCTCTCACTTAAAACCTTTGCTTGAAGAGTAACCCCTCTGTAAGCTCATTTTGCTGGAATATCATGAGGGGAAGAACACAGAAAGGATGCACATGTTGCTCACATGATTGGATAATCTCATAAAAACCTACTCCCAGAAACGTTTGAAGTCATTTCCCACAACTCCAGCAACACAGACCTACAGGAGAGAATTTGATTCTTCTATTTCAGAAGCTGAGGCACGAATTGCCAGCCAGCAGCTGGCAATTATCAGGCAGACAAGTGTGCTTTATGACATTTGATGACATTTCCTTGCTCATGTCAGGCCCCACAGAAAGCCATACTGTGAGACAGCCCTGTTCTCCACATGTTCTCCACAGAGAGAACAGCACTGAGGAAAAAGCTTTCTTTCTCTTCTATTTTATTCATTTATGATTTGCCAGAATGGCTCCTGCTAGACACAGAGTAACTGTCCTTTGTTGCCAGGCTTCAGGAATGTACAGCATGGATGCAGTGCAAGCGATGGCTTTCGATGGCTGCTTCCACGACACGGATGTGGACATGGACCTGACTCCCTTCCCAGAGCCCTGTGAGGAGAATGAGACCCGGGCAAGTCAAACCAACATCTCCAATGCAGACACACCTCGCTTGAAGAGGAAGAGATCTCTGAAGGGAAACGTGGGCAGGATTATTTTACAGAACAATCATGTTATTGACACATATTCCAGGATTATATTTCCCAGTGTATATATTGTGTTCAACTTTTTTTACTGGGGTTTGTACATATGAACTAAAATGCTTATAAACTAGACATTATTTTGTGTATGAGGGTTGCATCACGCTTCAAAAACAATGCAACAGCAGTAGAGGAAAAGGTTAAGATTTTCCAAAAGAGACTTCAGCATCAAACCTGAGCTGGTTTGATCAGCAGCAAAACTCTTCATGAAATACTCTCACATGTCTGGGTTCTTTTCCAACTGGACTATGCAGAGCTTCATCGGGGTGATCCCATGCACAGGCTCCACTGCAGTGTCACAGGAGCTGTGTGCTCACCGAGGGAGCCCTTTGTCACCCCCCTCAACAGACAGCAGCTCCCTGTACCTGAGGTCCTGCCCTGTCTCTGTCTGCACTCCAACCCTTCCTGTCGAATCAGCCTCTCTGTTCTTCACCTCTGCTCCATTTTGGTTGGCAATCAGCACCAACCACTTCGGGATAGCCTTGGGATGGCTCCTGTCCTTGTGTCACTTCCTGCATTTCAATTTTCCTGGGCAACCCCTGTGCACCTCAGCAGCCTCTGCCCTCGGATGGGAGCAGGGGGAGAATTATGGCTTAGCAGTGTAATAGGGACCAGCAGGAAGCCAGGGTGATGGTGCTTTGTTGATTGTGCATCAACAGCACCTCAAGAAAACCTTTCAGCCTTGTCAGCTGTCCATGACTCTCCATGGGACCTCTGTTGTGAAGAATCTGGCTCACCAGTCCCTGAGACAGCACAGGAGCAACATCCCAGACCGTGTGCACTTCCCAGGTGGATGAGCAGCATTCCCAGCATGAGCTGTATCCTTCACCTGTCACCCACATACCTCTGCCTCACCCTGACCTGCTGCAATCCCTTGCTTCCTGCAGAACCCTTTGGTTTAGAAACACAGGCTTTGAGACAGATTTTAGACAACTTTGTCAAGAGAACAAACCAACCACACCTTGGGTTCTTCTGCTTTATGTTGCATGTGACCTTGGGGTTTTGCCTCCCTCACTCTCCCTTTGGCTTTTGAGATTGAATGTTCCAGGGGGGAGAAGCTGCATCTGCCCCTTGCAGCAGTGATCCCCAGCACAGTTCCAGGAAATAAAAGGAAACAGCTGTGCCAAAACAGAGACATATACAGGAAACCTGTCAGTCTCAGATGAATCCTGCATGGAAATATCCTTAGGTTCAGGCTAAGGAGGCTGAATTAAGGATGTTCAGGGATATACACAGAAAGTTTTCACAGCTCCAGAAAAGACTCAAGATTACTTTTGTAACTTTCCCAAATAAGGAGCATTTTCCACTAAATTCCTTGGGTTCATCTGTCATTTAATTCACCGAGTTTATATTTACAAAGTCAGTTCAAAATGATAATTTGTGGTGGCAAAAAGTGTCACAAGGTAAATGCTTGGTCACTGCTTGGTCAAGTTTATTGGTCAAGGAAGTGGGAATAAATTTGGAAGCCTAAGTCACTCTTTGGTTTCTTTATTTATTTTATTTACTTACTTTTAAAATTACTTTTTATTTTTAAAATTTACTTATTTTCTTGCTCCCATCTTGTTTGTTCAGAGTGTGGTGACGTCTCTTAACTTTTTCAAAGAGCTGCATTTGTCAAGCTCCCAGTTCCAGAGCTGGAGAAGTGGTGACACGGTGCCTGCTGAGTGACTGAAATCTCAGGGAGTGAATGAGAGGGATCCCTGCCAAACAAATGTATCAGAGCTGAGACAGCTTTGATACTTTTCCAGGAAATCCTGTCATGGAAAGCAGAACCATACCAGGAATGACAATGCTGGGAATGCAAAGCCGAAGGACACACACAGGCTTTGGCAACAGTAACAGCACACCAGACCTCAAGCTGAGCAGATGTATAGTGTAGCTGTATATAAAAATACACCATCACAGCCTTGTTCCTGCACTGCCATTATGAAGCATCCTGCACAGATGTTCCAGATGCCTGAGAAGATCCCATCTAGCTATTCCAGATGTGTAATGTGTCTTCTAAACTTTTCACATGAACTAATATAACATCATTGTTTTCACTTTTTTTTTTTTTTTAATCTGCCCTCCAAGAAGAAATATTTGTTGTGTAGCCAACAGTGAAGCCTCAGCTTCCAAAAGAAAGAAGGCTCCAAATCAGGTCCCTTCACTAAATTCCTTGCAGGATTTGCAGCAGCAGAGGCCCTGCAGCACAGCATGCCCGAGCCCTGTGCAGGCTGCAGCAAACTTGTCCTCACGTGGAGGTGTGGAGGAAAAGAGATTCCTGCCTGCATTTACCTTCCAGGCACATCCTGTTCAGGTGCCAGAGAGCTGCAGAGCTTGCTTTTGGTGGGGAAAGCTGTTGTTACTTTCAGCTGTGAATGAAAACATTGGCCAAGGGTTCTGCCCTCCCAGAGTACTGCAGATCAGCCAGTTCAACCCTCCTGCCCTGGGCAGGGACTCCTTTCATTTAACCCAGGTTGCTCAGACCTGACCCTGAGCAATTCCAGGGATGGGATATCCACAGCTCCTCTGGGCAACCTGTGCCAAGGCCTTGCCAACCTCACAGTCAAGAATATTTTCTCTAATATCCAATCTAATCCTCTCCTCTTTCAGTTTGAGGCCATTCCCCCTTGTCCTGTCACTACATGCTCTTGTAAGTGATGATGATATTTAACTGCATGCTTTTACAGCAAAGCTTATAATTTTTTATCTTCTTAATGCAGTGACAGGGATGATATCAGGATAAATTATGCTTATAAAAAAATCTGCTGCTTGTATAAATAGTAAAAGATAACAAACAGTATTTCAACGAATTATTTCTTGTCTAGAGGGTGCTAGAGGGCTGACTAAGCTCCCATGGCCCTCTGAAATGTGTGTTAACTTCCTGACAGGTATGGTAAGAAACACCTTCAGTCAGTTTGTCTCTGCAGACCAGCACGGAAGTCTTTAAAAAATGTATTCACGAGTATTTCCCATTCCTGCTGTTTTTCCAGCCAGTCCCACGCGTGGGTTTTATATTCCACAATATTTACTGCGAGTTAAAGCACCATAGGCATTATTATGTATTATTAAATACATACGTGTGTGAGTGTTCATCCCCATGGCACTCAGGCAGTTTTGCTGAGAGTCCTTTGTGGGTTTTTGGAGCAGAAATTACAGCTTGTCACGATTTCTGTGACCAGCTGAGGTGCAGGATGTGGCCTCACTATTTTTAGCATCTGCTGCTACACCCATCTGTAATAAGAAAACATCCTGTGGGTGGTAGTGTAGGTGATGCAAACTTTTAAGCCCGGACAACTTCATTCTTAAAGGTTTTAAAATTCTTCAAACCATCAGTAGACAAGAATAAAACTTTGGCAAAGCCTATCTAACATCTTTTTCTGATGTCATTAGCCGGTGTAAATTAAACCATTAACAGGCTTCTTTAGTAAAGGTAATTAAAAATACTTCTGGAAGTTTTCATGCGCTCGGCAAGGATTCTGAAGATTTCTTTGAGTGAGCCTCAAGGGGACTCTGGAAAAGGATTTTGGTCCGCAGTTAAAGCTCAGACACTGTTGTGTGCACGAAACAAAATTTAACGCTCTGAATAACTTCAGCGGAGACGCTCTGTCGGAAAACACAGAGGAATAACGCGGGAATAGCGCGGCATTTCCTCCCGGCCGCCCGGAAGCCGCTCCTCCCGTGACACCCAGCGCGCCAGCCACCGCCTCCCGCTTCCATCCTGCGGCCTGGGGAGCCAGCCCCGGACCCATCCCCTCCCATCCCATCCCATCCCATCCCATCCCATCCCATCCCATCCCATCCCATCCCATCCCATCCCATCCGCCCCGCCCGGCCCGGCCCCGCCGCCATTCCCTCCCTCCCGCCCGCAGGGTGAGTGAGTGCGGGGCTCCGGGAAGGGAGGGATGGCGGCGGGGCTGCGTGTCCTCAGAGCCGCCGTGGGTCCCCAGAGCCGCCGTGTCCGCCTGCATTCCCGCTGCTTCCCGTGGAGCGTGCCCGGCAGTGCGGGAACACGCGTTGTGTCGCTTTGCGAGTGACACCGGTGGCAGCAGCTGGTGCCGAGTGAGGCAGGAGGGGCCCCTTGTGCCGCTCGGTTCTCGCTCCAGCGCTGCCGAGAAGGACGCGGGGGTGCGGGGAGGTGAGAATGGGGCCTGGGCCGCGCCCTCGGCGGCGGGGCCTGAGGGAGGGAGAGAGGGAGGAGATTGTGCCCCTCTGCCCTCGGATCCCGCCTGCAGAGCTGCACCAGCTCTGGGCTCCCCAGCATAAGAAGGGACAGGGACCTGTGGGAGCGAGTCCCGAGAATGCCCCCGAGATGATCAGAGAGCAGCAGCTCTGCTGTGAGAACAGGCTGAGAGGGCTGGGCTGGTTCAGCACGGAGAAGGCTCTCCAGGGATATTTGTGCAGCCTTTCAGTACCTAAATGCCAGATAAAATGCTTTTTACCCGGGCCTGTAGCAACCAGACAAGGGGGAATGGTTTTGCATTGTGAGAGGGTAGGTTTAGATTAGATATAAGGGAGGATTTTTTCTGGTGAGGGTGGTGAGGCCCTGGCAGCTTGGCCAGAGAAGCTGTGGCTGCCCCATCCCTGGAAGTGCTCCAGGCCAGGTTGAATAAGGCTTTGACCAAATAGAACGAGTGGGAGATGTCCCTGCCCATGGCAGGGGTTTGTGCCAGGTGATCTCTTCCTACCCAAACCATTCGGTGGGTTTGCAGTTGTAATAAATAACAAAACACTACAGAGAAGCACACGGTGTAAATGAAGCAGAGTTCTGCAAACAGTACCTATGTGAATTAAATTCATTAGATCAATCTGGGTGAACTGAGAGGTTGAAATGATGGCTCTAGGTCTGGAATTCAAAAACCATCAATTCAGGATAGGTTGCATTTGTGTTCCTAACATTTTGGGAACGCCAGTTTTCGATTGTAGTGCCAGCAGCATCTTCAGATCTTGCTGCCAACCAGAGACTAACTTTCAGTGGTTTTTTAAGCATTCCTTTGCCTCATGTAGAACAGTAGCTTCCTGCTGCTGGGAATGTCCATCCTGCTGGGAAGATGGTGATGTGAATTCCCTCCTGCAGGACTGAGGTGACCACAGGTTACTATTCCAGGCTGGTCCAGGAGCTGCTGCTGAAGCATTGCCCAGGAGTTGGGGGATCAGCAGGGTGTCCTGCTGCACAGGAGAACTTTGTGCTGCTTGGAAATACCAGAACTGGAGTTTAGGTTTCAGGATAAGGGATCTGTGCAAGTAAAAGCATCTCAGTCTGTTGACAGCATTTGCTTTTGGGAGTAAAGCTGCCATTTTTACTCGGAAGTGAAAGCATCAGCATGTTGTGACTCCTCATGGGTTGGCTTCTCAGACTGGCTCAGACGTGCCCAGAGTCAGTTTGGGTTGCCAGCCCAGACCTGGCTGCCAGGCTGAGCCGTGCTGGCTCATCTTCAGGATGCTTAGCTCAGCTCCCCAGGCAGGCGTCTACTGCTCTGCAGTGCTCTGGGGAAGGAAATGCTGGAGCAGACTCGAGGCAGGTCTGTCTGCACATGGTTTAGACCTACTGTTAACTCGATTTGTGCCTTAACTTTCCTGAGAACTTGGCAGCTAAACCATTTGTGAATTAACTTCTTTATTCTTGCATAATTGTACACAACATACTGTGGAAAAACAAAGTAAATGACTTTCAGCTTTAAAATTAAATGTCTATACTTGTATGAAAGAATTATTTTTATTCTAAATAAGCCATAAAGTTTGACAGCTTGCTAGAAATCAAAGCAGAATTTTGGCATTTTGGTTTTTAAACTGGTACACTTTATAAGTTTTAAGATTGTAGATTTAGTAATTACATAGCATCAACAGAAAGGCCTAACAATATTCCCTGTTTTGTAAACTGTTACTGTTGAAGGAAGTGTAATAAGAACACAGGTTTCTGATCCTGGCCTCTCTCTCCACCTCCTTCTGCACCTTGCCCTCAGTCTCTTAAGGCTGAGTTGTCTTTTTAAAAAAATAATTTTCAGCTCTTGCTACAGAAGACCACTTGCCCACAGGTTCTTTGTGTGGGTGGGTTCCTGCATTGGTAATGATCCATTGGGTCTCATCACATGTCCTTTAGTACAAACTCAGCTGTGGGGTGTGAGCCTCTGTGAGCAATGGCTCCCAGTAGAGCCCTTTGGAGTTTGCTGAGGTTTGAGAGAGGACTGGGGGCAATCAGTGAGCCCCTGAAGCCAAAGCCGTTCCCAGTGTACTTTGATATCCCCCTGGATAAGGCAAGAGCTGCTGCCCTGGGCCTGTATCTCTTGAGGTTCTGTTGCTAGCTGATTGTTCTGCATCTCTCTCCTCTTGGACAGGAAAATGCCCAAGAAAGGAGGGAAGATTGCTGACGTGGCAAAGGAATCACAGGCACAGTGTAAACGGCCCAAATTGGACACAGCTGGTTCTCCTTCAGTCCTGAGTTTTGAGAGCCCAGACAGCCTCTTCAGGAGCCTGATCTCTCCCATCAAAGAAGAGGTGTTTTTCAGGGAGTACTGGGAGCAAAAGCCACTGCTTGTTCAAAGAAGTGATGTCCTGGTGGCAGCTTACTACCAGTCCCTGTTCCAGCTGGCACACCTGAAGGAGCTGTGCGGCCAGGGCCTGTGCTATGGGCGAGATGTGAATGTCTGCAGGTGTGTGAATGGGAAAAAAAAGATTCTAAATAAAGAAGGTAGAGTCAATTACATGCAGCTGAAGAAGGATTTTGACCAGAAAAAGGCAACAATACAGTTTCATCAGCCTCAGAGATTTAAGGTAGGATTGTTTCATTTTAATTAATGCAATTAATGCTTGCTATAATATGGTGTGGCTCTTGCTGAGTGGCTTTAGACATGGCTTCATATCTGCCCCCATGGGAGGTAATTGGCATTGACAATCTGCTGAAATCTTTACATGAGTTGTATTAAAACACAGTTTATACCTTTTCACTGCCCATCATGTTTTAGTGCTCTGCAGTAAGAACAAAATCTGATTGATGCTATAATGTTTTTATGTAATATTAAATATCCTTTTTAAATGCATATAAGTGGTGATTAGGCATCTGTTCTTAAATTATCTCTTCTGCCCTGCTTTTTTCCTTGTGCAAACAGGGACTTTTGTACCACTTCCCTTTAATCAAGGATGAGGTGTGAAACCGTGTCAAGTATTTCCAGGACACTCCACCATTCTTGCCAAAGGATTAGCAAGGAATTGCACCATGGAACCGACCACCCCATTTCAGCTGAGTGTCCTCAGTCTGTGTGTATGGGAAGGAAACAGTGGTGCTGCACAGTTGTAAAGGCCTTAGATACTTGTAGGTACTTTGATTTAGGCAGTCCTTTTTTGTCCCAAGGTGTCAACACAGTCTAATTGTGAGGTGGCCCCAAATACACAGCAGAGTCCCAGGTGTAGTGTCACTGACTGATCTCAGTCGTTGGCATCTCCTGATGTTTCCCTGTCACATGTTGGATGTGGATGAGTAAAGTTTGTGCTTGAATATTCCCAAGCAATTGGAGTCATTTGTAAAAAGTGTCTGACCTTTGTGTTATTCCCTCTTTGATGCAGGTGGGATGATGGGTGCTTTATTCTCTGTTTAGCCTCGTTTTTGCCTGGTTTTGCAGCCTGAGGTTGGTACAGGGAAGAGAGCAAACAGCAGCGTTCTGTTGAGGCACCAGAGTTTTTCTCTTACCCATTACTTTCATGGCAGATCTCCTGTGCTACTGCAATGCTTGCCTTGAGGAAAAACTGCTTCCCAGGCTGTGTGTCCCTGTGGGGATGTCACCATTCCTCCCCAGTGATGGGCTGGTGGCAGCCAGGCTTGGCTGAGCTCTTCAGTATGCTCAACAGCATAATTTTTTTCTTTTTTCAATAGGAGGAGCTGTGGAAGATTCAGGAGAAGCTGGAGTGTTACTTTGGGTCTCTGGTGGGGTCCAATGTTTACATCACTCCCCAGGGGTCTCAGGGCCTTCCCCCTCACTACGATGATGTCGAGGTAGGACACCACCACCTTGTCTGTGAGATCCTTTGTGGGCTCCTGGCAGTGCATGCCTCTTTGTGTGCTTCCACCAATCCCCCACAATAAACATTCCAGAAAGAGTTTTATTCCCATTTAAAATTTAGGGTAATTATTTGCAAGTGTTTCCTTATATATTTTTGCTGAAAGTGTGCTAATAGTAATGGCTAAGTTGAAGTGACTGGAGTGAAACAGGGATTTCAAAATTCCGGATAAAACAATCACACTTCACAACTCTTCTCTCTGTTGTTTCTAAATAGAGTACAAGAATTTAGTTCATATGTAAATTTCTGCATTTAGATACCTAAAAGGTAATGTGAAAGGAATTATATTTGCCATGCTGTGGAGTAGCTGAGAGCAGGAAAGGGGAAAACCTGAATTTGTCAGAAAAGCAACCTGTGCCACTATTCCTGTCCCTGCCTTCTGGTTTGGTTCCACAGACTTGGCAAGTCAGAAGATAAATTAAAATACCTGATGAGTTGGATGTGTGAGAGGCAGCAGGGCTTCCTTAGAGCCCCCCAGAAATTGGGATTCATGGTCTTTTGCAGGTGTTCATCCTTCAGCTGGAAGGAGAGAAGCACTGGCGGCTCTACAAACCAACGGTGCCTTTGGCTCGTGAGTACAACGTTGAGCCAGAAGACAGGATTGGGAGTCCCACACATGAATTCATATTAAAGGTATTAGAATTTAATTGCTTCAGGTGGTCTGGGCTGTGGTAGCAAGAAAAGTGATCATGCTTGGTAGGCTCCTAGAAGTAGCTTGTGACCAAGTTTAAGGACCATAAGATTAAAGTGTAATCCGATTTCATCACTATTGCTTTATGAACTTTGTGCTGGTGTTTATAGGACAAGCCACAAGTAATCTGATTTTTCCTTTGTGGAGGCAACTTCATGTGCTTTGCATTTCTTTCTTGTCTTGACTTCCCTGACCTATATTATTTTCTGTGGAGATATTTAATTTACATAGGTGAGAAGATAGGGGAGGAGGAAGGTTCTACTTGCTTTTTAAAGTGTTTTAACTAAAAGTTTCAGACTGTTTGACTTTCCTTGTGAAACACTGGCCTTTTCTTTTGATATGATCTGACCAAATTCCCAGGGCACCGAATTACCAGCAGATTCATCTCAGCTGCTTCTTTGTCCCCTTCCCGCAGCTCAGCAGGACTGTGCATGTTCTAGCATGTCAAAAACTCATGTTTGCAGACAGGTGTAGAGCTAATATTGACAGTAGCTTGGAAAGTTTGAGGTGTTGGACTTCTGGCTTAGAGTGCTTTATGTTATTAAATGTGCATTGGAGAATTGCTCGATTTTGATTTTTAAAGAATATATATTGTCAGTCTGTCTGCTTAGAGAGCTGTTTTCTCTAGACAACAGTAAGGTTTGACCAAGTGGCCTAAATGTACCAGTTCTCTTTCATTTTCCTGCAGCCAGGTGACTTATTGTACTTCCCAAGAGGGACTATTCACCAGGCTGACACTCCTCAGGGGATCTCCCATTCAACACATGTGACCATCAGCACCTACCAAAACAAGTAATTCCTCTTCATTTCTTTTTTTGTATGGCTTTCCCCTGCCAGATGATGTGTGTGAATAGTAGAGACCTGAAGCTGGTCTTTCAAGGATGTTTCAATCAATGTCCTATTTCTTAAAAAAAATAACCTTGTAATGAGTTCTTCTTGGGTCTTTCCTGTGTTCATCCTATTCAGCCTGTGTGTGGTTTGTTTTCCTGTGGGTATTACAGGGATAGGGCATGTCAGCTTCCCCCCAGAGATGTGGTGACATGGAATATAGGTAGATACCCCACTATTACATAGCTGCCCTGCTGTTAAGGACAGAATCTAAGTGTTGAGATAGCAGTAATTGGAAGTTTTGGGGTTTGGGGGAAGGAGGGGAGCATGACCATTGTTGTTTGAAGCAGGCTATTTGCCAAGTTTTCATGCAGCAAGCTTGATTGCTTTTTAATTGCTTTATTTATTATTTACCAGCTGGAGACTTTAATGTGTAAGATAATGTTGCAACTGCAAACTCATTTTTGTCTTTAAAAAAAGAACCCTCACCAGTGGATGAAATTGCTGTTCATTTCATAATCCACATAAAGAGCCATGAGTTATTCCTTTCATCAGGTTTCCTCCTGTATTTGATGGTCACCCACATGTCTTCTGACAGATTCTTCCATGCAAATATTTTCTGCTAATCTGTGTTTTTCATATTCTACCCCATGTATGAGAGTCAGATTTCTTCTTTTGACACAGGTCAGGTCCTTGTTCCCCCATTGAAACATTGTTATCACTGTTTCAATGAAACAGGGGAAAATGCTGCTGCTGCCACCTAATCAGCTATGGGGTGCTGGGCTTGGAGTTATTGGCCTGATTTAGGAATTGGGAAGGATTTGTATGGATTTATTGGTCAAGCAGTGCTGGGAAGCCAAGGATTGTAATGGGATTGCTGGAGATCTGCAGCCTTGTGTGGAGTTTCTCCATGGCTGCACGAGCCCAAGGCCAGTCCCAGTGTGTGACTTGTCAGGAGCACATTCCCTGGGGATGTCTGTCATGGGTGAGCAGAGGAGCAGGAAAAGCTTCAAGACTGTTGTTCTTCCAAGGTTAAAAAGTGGAATCATCATCCATTAAGGTTATTGGCAATGAAGTGTAAGAGCATTCCTCTGCCCCTGCTGTCAGCAAGTGTAGGGAAAATAAGCAGCAGTCCTGGTGTTTTGATTTGGCTTGTGGATGGAAGTATGACGTGGAAACATTTCCTTGGAAAATTGAAGAGAATTTGAAAATAGCTGTGGAGGTGGCACTTGAGGTATTTTTAGGCACCAAGACAAAAGGGACATCTCTGTTGAAGCAGAGTTTGTCTGGACCAGATCCCAGCAGGCAGAGAGGTGTGCACGTGTGGGATAAGCAGGGCAGTTTGAGTGAGCAGCTGAAGACATTTGCTGGCAGATGGGAACTGGGGGCAAGAAATGCACTAAGAAGTAGATGTCCAGTTCCTTTTATTGGCCAGAGTTCTTCTTCCCACTGAGTAGCAGACAGTGAAACATTTGAGTGGACACGATAAAAAAAGAAGAGACTATAATAATTGTTTTACATCTTAACACTACTTTAGTTAGGAAAAAAAAGTAGGATGTGTGTTTTGTTTTAGTGCAACTATTTCAGTAATTTTTTTTTCTTCCTGTCTTTTAGCTCTTGGGGAGATTTCTTACTGGATGCAATTCCTGGCCTGGTGTTTGATACAGCAAAGGAGGACATGGCACTGAGGACAAGCATTCCAAGGCAACTGCTCATGGTTAGTAGGTGGGACTCAGGGAATAATGGTGCATCCAGGTGATCTGTCAGACAGCAGAAGTTTTGTCAGGCTGAGCTTCTGAATCTTTAAGTCAGTGAAGCTGTGAATTGTTGTGTGACCTCCTTATGGTGGTTGTGTGTTGCTGCTGCTCAGCTTGTCAGTGTGCAGGAGGAACAAGGGTCTTTTCAACTGCACTTGCAAGTCCTTTTGCTCCAGAGCAAGGAGAACATTCTTTTGTTTGATATATGAACAGCTCATGGGGAATGTGTAAAGGAAACACAGCTTGGTTTGCGACTAAGCAGAGATAAAAGAGGAGTGTCCAGATTTTCACTGCTGTGCTGCACTGCTTTAGGCCTGGTCTGTTCAACTTGAATTCTTTGTGGATGTTTAGCAGGTGGACACAGCTGACTGCACCAAAAAGCTGAGCAGCCTTCTGAGAAGGCTTGCAGACAGTCTGGAGAACTCCAGGGAACTGAGATCATCCGACATGAAGAAGGATTTCATTCTGCACCGGTTGCCGCCATGCTTGGGATGTGACTCTGATCCTTTGACTCCAGGTAGAGTTTGAACTTCCCAAAACTGGCTGATGTGATGGTAGTGGCTAAGTCTGCCTCTTAAAACTTCTAGCGTTTCATGGTAGGCCAGGATCACAGTGTAGGCCCAGCTTTGTGCCGTGCCTGGCTGTGTATGTGTTTGCACACCTCTCTTGGTCAGTTCCCAGTGTCTGGTGGGAGAGATGACCCATTTCCCTTACATTGAAATAAAGGTTATCCTAGAATTTCAAACATCTTTCTCATTTCTCCTTCCACCACAAGTTTGAGAATTTGTGGCTGTGGAAACACAGGTTAACAAAAAAATCTGGCTACAAGAGAATTGGTAGTGCACAGGGGGCTCAATTTGTATCATGTCTGGTTTTCTTCCTTTTCTAAGGGAGAATTTATTCTTCTTAGGTGGGAAATTGCCAAAAATAGATAGCAAAATCAGACTGCAGTTTAGAGACCATGCTATCATCACTGTGGAACCAGATCAAGAGAATGCTGTAAGTATAAGAAGCCCCCCTTGTATGCCTGGGGTGGGGAGTGGGAGGCCATGTGAATTGTTGCTCTGTTGTACTAAAAGGCTTGTGCAGTTCTGCTTGGTTGGATCCTGCATCCCATTATTGCTGTTAGGAGATCCTGGGGCTGTTTGCTGAGTGCATTCCACCCTTCTGGAGGGAGGTACAGAATTATATTCAGTCTGTGATTCTGCATGGCTTTTATCTGAATCACATGGGGTAGGTCATTACAGCAGCAGCTAAAATGGCCTTTATAGCTCTGGATAATAGATTTTTTTAAAAAAAATTCTTTGTATTTAAGACCATGAAGAAGTCATAAAATTAGGGTTCCTGAAAAGAGGGAATTCTCTTGGTTGCATTTAGTCTTTACTACTAAATTATCTCTGTATTTTCTCTGTACCTAAGTGGGTGACAGTGGCACTTATGAATTGTTCCACAATATAGATAGATACTGACATCTCACATCATTCTGTGTTTACACTGTTGATCTGTGAAGGTTTATTAATATTAAATTATAGAAGTGCTTTCTGTTAATTTAAAATATGGGGGGAGGGGGAACACACACAGAGAAGAAGTTGGGTTTTTGGGTTTTTTGGTTGTTGTTTTGTTTTTCGTTAGGTTTTTTTTTTTTGTTTGCTTGTTTCTTTTTATGAGTGGGATATTTCCCTCCCAGAAAAACATACCAGAACTTTCTGATTTTCTCTTCCATTTTATTTGTGTCCATATTGCTGTGAGACTGTGTAGGGTTTGGAAACTTTTTTCTTCCAATTTTTTGCAGCTGATTTGATCAGCTTTGACCAAGGCTTAATAATGGGCAAGTGATTTTTAAGAGACAGTCTGAGACTGGAGATTTATTGATGCACAACTCTTCATTAAGTCTTTTTAGGAGAGGTTCCTTAAATTGCCTATTTTCTACACAGCATCAGTCCTGTGACTCCAGCAGGGGCAGTTTTAAGGCAGAAGCTTGTAAATAAATTTTCAGACGTGTTTTGGAGTGTCCCTTCCTGCTGTGGGAGGTGGCTGTTGGGTCATTGCTTTCCTTGCTGTAACAGTGGCCTCTGGAATTAAGGAGCTGGCACTGCAGTGAGGTGAGGGTATGGATCACCTGTGACCGTTTTCTTCCTGCTGTCTTTTAGGATGAAGTTCGCAGGGAGATGGTTTATGTGTATCATTGCTTAAAGAACAGGAGAGAAACTCACATGATGGGGACAGAGGATGACGCTGCCAGTGAGGATGGCCTGACACAGGTTTGTTCCTGCAAACACACCCCAAAATTTATCTTGCCACTGTGGGTTTGGCTGTGTTCTTCAGCACCCAGAGTTTTTCAGCCCATTCCCAGAGTACCTGGATGAGCTGAAGCTGCAACACAGGCAGTGAATAGCAGAACTAAGTAATGTGATCCCATGCTTAATTAAACATCTGAGATGCTAATGGGATGTCTTGTGCATGTCCTGTGGCTCAGTTAGCAAAGCTGCTGGAGCACCTAAAAGTATCTTACTGTGTGTCCTTCAGCAGGTCCTGTTGGAGGCTGCTGGAGATGTAGCACACGTTCCATGGGGATCACTGCACCTCATTTCTGTCATGTTAAACCTGTGTTAGCTCCTGTGTCCACTGAACACCCTGTGCAGGGCTGCTCACTTCAGCCTGGGGCAGGTCAGCACTGGGAATAAAGAACTCACTCTTCCAAAATGTAATTCAGGTCTTACAACTCCACCAGAGGCAGAACAGAGCACAGCCTGGCCTTAGGTTGGCCATTGCTGCAAGTTTTTATTTTCCTTTTGTAGTAAATCTCACTGCTTCTCTAGAGCTGAGGCTGGAACCCTGGCACCTGAGCAGTACATACACATCCCAGAATCTTCCTTCCTGCCCTTAAAAAAGAGTCCTGGGAATGAAGGTCCTCTGTGCTTCTGTGTCAGCTAGAAATAAACCTCTGTTACCTTGCTAAAAGAATGGGTAGGGTTAGGCAAGAGGGTAAATTTTAAATTATTTTTTTCTTGTGTATGGAAACCACAGGAGGAAGTCACATAAACATCCCTACCTTGTAAAATATGCAACAGCATGGAAGAGTTACTTCTAAGTAAAATAGGTCTGGATAAAACTGTCCTTTGGAGGCTGCTCTCATGAACAGGAGTGTGCTGTGGGAATGGAGCACATTCCTGCAGCTCCCTCCCCACAGCCTCACACACTGTTGTGTAATAAAGTCACTGCACTTTGCTGAAGAGTTTTTTTTCTTTTTCCCCAGCAGACTCATGGGCTGCGGTTCCCTTTGTCATACTTGGATGCACTGAAGCAGATCTGGAGTAGCAGCACTGTTAATGTTAAAGAGCTTAACCTTACCTCAGATGAGGAGAAAGAAAACCTTGCCTTGTCACTCTGGACTGAATGTCTGATTGAAGTTCTTTGATGCTTTTGTGAATTAGCTGCTCCTGGCTATTCAGCATCTCTTGAGAGCAAGGGTTATTAAATCAGTTTTTATAAATCCATCCAGCCTCTGGTTTGTAGTGCTAACAAAGCATTGCAATATCTGTACTTTGCTGCTTTCTGGTGCCAAACGTTAACTGTCCTTCCATGCTTTTGGGAAACTGTGCATGGGGGAAAACAGGTAAGTGAGGCACAGCTCCAGGTCTGTGGCTGGATGAAGTCACTCCTAAGTACCCCCAGTGCTCTGGTGTCCCCTTCCTTCTGGAGAGCTGCTGGCATGTGGAGGACATCTAAAGTTATGCATGGAACAGGCTCCAAAACCTTCTGCATAAAACATTAACTTGATTTTTTCATTTGTAAAGTTCATCAGCAGGAAAATCTGTTTGATTGCCCTGACAGAACAAAAGCTTCCTGGTAAAAGCTGCATGTGCAGTTCCCACAGGGAACTTTTCCCAAGAAAACCCCTTTTCCTTCAGATGTTGCCATCCCTGAAATAAACAATAATATTTATCCTCTACCTCCCCCAGCACCAGTTTCAAGTGAAAGTAACCCAAAAGCCTGTAGCTGGAATCTGTATCTTCAGTATTCACTTGAGTGGGTTTTGATGAGACTGGTGCAGTTACTTTAATACTTCATTGATTTTTAATATGCAATCTCAAGTAACAGTACAGCCACATATTCACTATCCTTATTCCCCATTTTTGGGCATTGGAAAAGAAATATTTTACTGGAATGTGCTCAACATCTGCTGAAAACTATTATTTAGTTTGTTTAAAAAGAAACCAACCAGCAAACTGTTTCTCCTGAAAAGTTTTATACAGTTAAAATAGACATGCTTTAGCATTTTACATTCAAGGTCTCTTAAGTACAAAAGCCTGCTTTAATTTGTTATGTAACACTAAGACACCAAATATGATTTAGTCATTCTTCATTTAAAAAACTACAGCTTTTTACATGGGCTTTTAAAATTTCATATGGAAAGTCACATGCAGAACACTGATGTACTGACTTATATGGAAAAAAGCTTAACAAGTGCTTTAGTTGAAAAAATATATACATACATTTGAGGCTCTGTTACTCATCAGATTTATGATAATTTTAGAAGGTAAAATAGGAAGTGCAAGTAGATTTTTTTTTTAAATAGTACTATATAGAACTCCATTTCATACAAAAATAGACATCCATATATTTTATCTCTATGGCAAACTTAGGGTTATGTCTTTGTTTGGGGATGATCCTGTTTGAGTGCACAGCTTTTGGAATCTCAAATATCTGTCTTCAGCTAACCTGAACTTTTTAAATAGTCCTAGAAATACTTACCCTGAATATACAAATGCTGGAAAAAAATATTTTCAATGAAGATTAATTTAGTGACGCTGAATCCAGGGAGCTGAGGGACTTCTCTTCCATGTCAGGTGTTCACAGCCCTCCAAGGGCCAGGGAAAAGCTTTTCAAGCACCACCTGCAGTCAGTGAGGTCTCTGGCTCTGTTGGAGCAATAGCTGTGGTTGCATAGTGTGGAAATCGAGGAGAGCCCTGGCACAGCAAGCTCTGGACCATCAGTTGTCCTTGGTGCCACAGTGACCCTGACATGCAGCCATGCTGCTCTGGAGTGCAGGCTGCTGGCACCTTTGGGAATACATGCCAAGGTGAGGTGGTTTCTGCAAAACTGGAAATCTGGTGCTGTTAAAAGCAGAGGAAACAAAGGCTTACCAGTATCATTTAGGGGCTGAAAGGCCCCAGTATTGCCTCATTTCACATGCTGAGCTGGAATTCCAGTTCAAAGGTGTTCTTTTTTTTTAACAAAATAAATTGCATTTTAATGAGAGACATGATTCAGGATCACTTGGAGCCTTAACAGTTTCACTTGGGACATAAAAGCCCAACTCAAGTTCCTTGAAGCTCATCAGTGCATTCACTCCTCAGTGAGCTTCCAGCAGTGTGAGAGGAAGGTAAAGACAGCATTTCTGAAGAGCCCTTCCCCTGTTACCTCTTGCATGTCCCATGCTGCAGAACCTCTGCCTGCTCTTTTGCATTTACCTTTCATACTTCAGAGGAAGAGCAATGGTGACTTTCACAGGAGCAGCCTCTGCAGAATCAGCTTCCCTGCAGAGACATTGGATCAACCTCCCATCTTCCAGACTTGTGCAAAATTCAGTTCTTTTAGGAGCTGGTGCTTGGCATGAAGGAAAATAGACAGGAGCTGCTGCTTATGGTTCCAGTGCTATGTGACTTCAGTAGTTGGGTTCTTTTTTCCCCTCTGGATGTTGGTAGGCCACAAAAAGTCCATTTGTGGGATGGAATTTACTCATAATATTTCAATATCCCATTTCTGTGAGGGTTTGTTTTCTATTGGATGATTCATGATGATGTGATTCTTGTCATAGTAATATCCTCCTTAAAAACAAAAGGAAGTAATGAAGGAAAAGCTTTTGAAAGAAATACCCACTAAAATTATACACAATCTTTTCCTAAGTAGGAAAATCAGCTGAAAAATAGGAATTCCATTGTAACTGAGCAATGACAATTTTAACCAGCCTTCTTTTTCAACCCCTTTTCTCTTTTTGAGCTATTCTGTGATTGATTTTCCTTCACCATTTTGTCTTCTGTAACTCCCATTTCTTGCCATCTGCACTGCTTAACTCCCCAAAGCACAACAGTCGACCTGATCAAAATAAACCTCAGGAATCAAAAGAGAAAGGTTCCTCCCTGCCCTGCTGTTCCTTGTCCCACTGTCAAACAATTGGACAGAAAAGGTAAGATTCAGTTTCTGACCTTAATTACAAAAAAAAAAAGTTGGAACATGGAAGTTTACTCTAATCAAAAAACACACTTAAAACCTGTGAGGTTGAGAGGTTTTTGTTTTTAAATACCTTTAATATCAAGCACCAGTTGGTCACTGAGGTATGAACTGATGGTTCCATCCTCGTTGAGTCTCCACTTTTGCCTGTCCTTACCATGTTCTGTCCAGAGGGCGACTTTGGCCCCAGGCACATCTCTGCCCCCAATGACATCCAGACAGGCATTGTTGGCCTAAGAAACAAGGAGAGCAGTGAGATCCAGGCCACAGAGCCTCAGTTTTGTGCCTGACTTATCTCAGGCACTGAGCATATGGCAGTAAATCGTGCTGTACTTGGTAAAACCCTGGGAAGCAAGCGAAGAACAGATTATTCCACACTCGACCAGCTGCTCAATCAAAGGTGGTGGTCTTTGTTACTTCATTTTTTCAATGTTAAACCATCAGCTTCTTCTAATATTAATAACAGACCATCAAGGGCAGCATTAATATAAAATCACTCTGAAACTCACCTTGGACTTGAAGAGCCCCTGGCAGTAGTGCCAGAGCTGGGAGTTGCTGCCGCTGCGCGGGGCCGCGCACACCGAGGTCGCCCTGATGTCTGCCAGGCTCCCAGCCACGGTCAGGTACTTGCCCTGGGCCCTGTTCCTCACCCTCAGGTACACTGCTGGCTGCAAGGGGGTGAAGGAAGAGATTTGCAACACACACATATCAAGCCAATTGATGTGAGAGGGCCTCCCCTCCACCATCCTCCCCCTCCATCAGTTTTCTAAACTCTTGTGTTCAATTTTTGTTTTCATTTGAGGATGTTCAGTAATTTTTCGGTTGGAAACAAACGTGCCTGTGAAGCACAGTAAGTGGTTTTTCACGTGCAGTTGGGCAGCTATAAACAGCAATGGTAGATAGGTTTTTAAAAGAAATGTAATTTGGCTATAGGACTAATTCCTGTGATCTGCAAATATGCCTAGTTCAGCACATTTCACTCGTTCCAAGGGCAGTAAATGGGCTCCATAAGCTTTTAATTCTTGGGACACAAAACTTACTGAGTTACATACCCAGCAACTTCAGCCCTCACTAACTAGAATATATGGCAGAGAGATACACCACTGTTTTTGAACATAGGAAAACAGGGCACGGACCTGGTATCCCTGTTTGTTCAAAAAATAAAGAGGATTTTGCAGGGCTACTGCAGGGTTTGAGCTTTTGCTCTGTTATTTACTAGTTTTAGTTCAAATAAAGAACAGGGAGTTATAAAGGGCAGCTCTGCTGGATCTCCTTTTTTTCCATATTAAAACAAACCCTGAGCTACAGACAATAAAGCCTCTCTTCCACCAAGCATCCATAAACAAAATCTGTATCAGTTCACTGTTTACTCTTTGTGGCTTAGAGACCTGAACCTTTGAATGAGACTGAAATTGGAATTACCTGGGGTGAGGCAGAGTGGGAAAACCTGGTGGGAACTGCATGAGCTTTGCCTCTTTTGGAAATCCAGGCTACAGCACAATAAAATTCGCTCTTGCTTCCATTTATGTTAATTAGGAAACAAGCCAGGGTGGAATTGGTTTCCTCATTATATTGTCATATGGCAAAAATGTAAAAATAGAGCATCCACAGAACATGCTAATGAGCAATTCGGTAAAACAAAACTTGGCACCAAGAAACGGGGAATTATTTCCCTTGAGGAACCTAACATAGATCTCAATAACTGCCCTAAGAGGCATTTTCTGCTTCAGCAATCTTCCAGTGGGTCCTTCTGGCTGTCATCATTTGGCCTGATTTAAGGAGTACAACACACCCCAGAGTGCCTGGTGGTAGAGCTGATACCTGTGCACAAACCCTGTCCATAAAACCCCTTTTCCTCACCCAGTCTTACAGTACCTGCTTCACAGGACGGAGGGAGCCAATCACTTTCCAGCCACTGTGTTCACTCCAGTTTGAAATCTCCCTGGGCTCCAGCAGAATCTGCTTTCCTAAAAAATTGCATCCCTCGTAGGCAATCCACCTGGATACACAAAACATGAAAGGGCACTTGTTATCCACAGCAAAACTAAACTGTAGGTCAGGACTGTGCTCTTGGAAGCCCCCAGACCTCTCTACAGTGATGCTAATATCAAGCCTCTCTTTCTGTGCTGCAAGATGCCATCCATTTCAGTGGGATGACTGCCTTTCTCTTGAAATTCAGACCTGTTTTCTGTCTGTCTGTCTAGAATCTGTAAACTACATTTCCCATCTCCCCTCTCCCACTCCATTTTTTTTCCCACAAAAA